GCAGAGATGCAGTTGGTTTCTTCTTTTAAAACTTTAGAGCCTCTCCTACCTGCAGGAAGTATGAGCAGAGTGGATCTTCCTTGTTCTGTTCATCATAGAATAATCCTCCTGCCACAAAGATCTGGTTCTCCTTGGTGACCAGGCCGGCATGGTTCTTGGGAATCTGTGTGGAAAGTGATGCTACAAAGCATTCGTTTCCCGACGGATCATAAGCCACAGTGCTCTTGTCATTCACCATCAATAGCAAGTCCCTCATAAACATGCCAAATCTCAGGTTGTCATTCAGGATGCCTGGGAGAAGACCTTCCTCCTCACTCTCTCCATCTTTTCCTGCTCCACCAGCCACCTCCTTGCTTTTCTTAACTTCCGGCATTTTCCCAGCGTGAGCATCCCGAACCAGCTGGAGCTTCTGCTGCAACTCGGGATTTGAACAGATCAATTTGTGCTTCTCTACTTTTTCTTTCAGGTAATCCTCAGAGACCAGACGCAAACGAACACAGTCCAGCAAACCTGGCAGCTCTTTTTCTCTGCTCTCGGTGTCTCTAGACACCCAGTTCATCAAAGTCTCAAACACTGCTTCCTCTGTCTCTACATTCAGGTTGTCATTTGCTAAGATAGCTGCTAGCTCACTTGGGAGCAACTGGTAGAAATCCTCATCCCTGGAGATGAACTGGAAGCGTTCACAGGCATAGTTTCGGGCAGAGATAGCCAACCTGGGACAGTCCAGCATCAGGCCAAGTCTGAAGATAGCTAGGCAGTTGCTGAGGCTTAGGCGCTTTTGCAGGAAAGAGACACATACAGTGAAAATTGAAGGTATTTGATACATGTTAGCCACAGCAAAGATGTCCTGGACATTCTGCTCTGTGACATGGATTTTAGAAGTGTACAGATATTTGAGGACCAGCCCCATGACACCAGGCTCCACATCCTCCAGGACAATCTCTCCCTTTTTGCTTTCCTCTAGGTCCGACAGAAAGATAGAGCGAAAGTACGAGCTGCAGGCACACAGGACAAGCCGGTGGCAGGGGAACTCTTTGTCTTTGATCTTCAGCACACAATCAACAAGCTTTTCGTTCTCTAACAGGTCACACAGGCCGTCCTGGAGCAGAGTCTGCTGGTATATCCTGGGCTCGTCCGTGGGGTTTATAGGTAGAGCCATCGTTTCTGGTCAGAGGCAGTTTCAAGAGCCTTTCTGTGTCTGCAAATCCAACAAAAAATGGCTCTTCTCTTTAGCAGTCAGTCTACCGTTAGTCCACGCCAAATGACCACAGGAGGCAGGGGGATCTCTCTCAGCTGTCCTGACCCTTCAGCTGAGCTCCAACTGGGAAGTTATTTATAGACTGGGTGCTCATTGTGAAACTATGAAATGCTATATCCCCGCTTCAATCTCCCATTCCCATCTACAAACCTAGCCACTCACTAGGAGCATCCACCCACTCTCAGACAGCTGGCACATTGCTTCCAGAGAAATGTGTGACCTGAGTCATGGGGTCTCTGTGGTAGGAGGCTGCCCCCTGGGGTTTCTGTGGCTGAGTCATCATAGCAAGTGTTACTCCATGTTTTAGACATATTACTATATTTGCATATTATTAATACTGAATGTTGTTAACTCTAATGTAGTTTCCTCCCTTCTACACATCCCCTGTGATTTTATTGATCTCTGGTTATTTTTCTGCAATTGGACACAAGAGGTCATCTTGTGTTGGGCTGGATTTTGCTATGAGAGATGTTATTTAATTGCAGCTAAAACACTGAGCCAGTGTTCTTCACTCCTTCAGCAATGTTTTGTCACTAAAGATGTCAGGGGTGTGCTCCTTGTAGGACCCAAATGCAAGCCCGCATTAACAAA